AGCGCCCCGCTCATCCACGGGCTCAGGTGAGGGGCCCGGGGGGCTCCGGGGAGGAGCCCGAAGGGCTGAGCGAGCCCTGGGCCCCGCCGCGGGCCTTTGGCAGGCCTGGCGCTCCCCGAGTGGCCTCCGGGACGTGCCCCCTGTTCCTCGGACACAACGTGTCCCCCTTTCCCCCCCTGCTCGGTGAAGATGCTCCCCCGGTAGCAGCGGTGCTCTTCTTCAAAGAAAAGCCTGTTTTCAGGCCGCAGCGCGTGTCACGGCGCAGCGGAGCTCTAAGCAAAGCGCACCTCGAGAGAGTTTTGTTCACCAGACTTTTGTTTTCTCCCCCCTGCAGTGACAACTCGCAGGTGTTCCAGCCTTACGTGTTGCGGACTCGCAGGAACAGCACAACAGTTATGAGCCGTCATGGAATGGTGAGGAGTCTTAAGCATGTCACGCTTGCACACAACGAGGAGTAATCGGAGTAGAGAAATGAAGTTGAACTTGATCATTTGCACTGTGCATCCTACCGAGCTTCCAGGCTGCAGAATAAGCATTTTTTCGCGTGTAACTGCAACGAAATAATACTGGTGTGTTAACTGTCCACCCGGGAAGACAACAGTAGCTGAAGCTACTTGTGATTCCCAGTATTAAGCACAGTCTTTAGGTTAGTTTAGACCTGACTGTGGGTTAGAAGAGAAAACTGTTTTCACAATTAAAAGTCTTGAAAGGGTGTTTTAATTTGTTGTGAAAATGGAAGAAAGAGTCACAGTTTTTCACTGACCTGCTTGTTTGACATGGTGCTCTTTTTTTTTTATTTCCAAAGGCTGAACACTAGATCTCAGAAAATCATTTAAAGAAGAGTAATTTATTTGTTGCTCTCTGTTGTAAGCCTGGTAGTGTACAGAGCTGCAGTTGTTTAACATTTCAAAGATGTTGCATTTTTTTTCACCTTTTCCTTCTCAACTCAGTGATCTGTATGTACTTTTCACTGAAATTTTTCTGTCTCACCTAAGTGTAATGAAGATTAAGTATTGCTTTTCTCAAAACCTGTAGAACTTAAAGTCCCCAAATAAGTTTTTTCTATGCCTTCTGTTCAGAAAAGGTGAGATGGGATTTTAATTCAAAATCTTTAAAATAAGAATCCAGAATTTTGGAGCTCAGATCAGTAGATGTGGCAATGGACACATGGATGTCCAGAGTGGGAACTGTTGGCCTATTTGTATGTGATGGAGTCAGAGTTCCAGAGAAATTAGATGCATAAAATGGCAGAAGCAAAACTTTAGCAAGGCTGAGCTGAAACACTGAGGTTTCTCTTTTATAACAGAGAGCTGGATGAGAAAGGTTCTGCAGGGGTTTGTCATCTTACTCTGGGCAGTGAGGAATTGTGTAAAGATCATAGTTTCATTTGTAGTATCTCACTTGCTTAAGTGGCATCTGTAGCTATTTGTGTACTTGGGATGTTGAGCAGTATCTGCAAGTCAGTTCTGTGCTGCTTGTTGAGTGATACAAGGAATTTGTTAAGTGGTAAAACAAGTCTTTTCTCTTGAAGGTCAGTGTTTGCTTTTTGCAACATTGTTTGAGTCATCCACAGGTAGTTGTACAGCTCATTTTTAACTCACTAAGATTGTAGTTAATGGTAAATACTATATATGCAAGCAGTTGAAGTGTGATTTAATCGTTGTGGCTGTCACTTTTTCTTTTTCCAGTTCTTGTCATCATCTCCTATTCGTATTCCTAGCAGCCGACTTCATCAGATCAGAAGGGTAAGTTTTTATCTGTGTATTTAGTAACAGAATGAAAAGTACTATATAATATTGAAGTACTTATATAGTGGGAGTTTCTTTCCTATCGAGTTTGTCAAGTACTAAAGAAAACTGTGTATTTTTCAAGACTTAATTTCAACAAGGGAAGTGTCCTTGCAAGGCTTATTGTTATGTTTAAGCTACTTTGCATTTTTGAAGTGTTTCATTTAAGAGAAGCAGTGAGCTGGACTGGTGGCAGTCTTGTCTTTCTGTAGTGGTTGTACTGTTCATATTTCAATTGTGATGGCAAATCACTGAATCACAAGTGTTATTTCAAGTGCCTGTGATGAATCAAATGTTATGGGGAAACTTAGGACATTTATTTCCTGCAGGAGGAAGGAGTGGATTTAATGAACAGAGAAGCAGCACATGAAAGGTGAGTGTTATTGAAAGAAGGTGATAAAATAGCCAGAGTTATCCTTTTTGTAGCTACTGATGGGGTTTTTTGTATTCTAGGGAAGTGCAAACAGCAATGCAGATAAGCCAGTCATGGGAGGAAAGCTTGAGCCTGGTAATCTCTTTATAGATGTTTCCTATTTAATTCTACTTTCACACTTAACTGATGAATTTAAGGGAGAGAGAGGAATTAACTGTGAAAATAATTTCAGAAGAATTTAAACTCATCTGCTTTAGCTATTTTGTGCATTTGACCCAATGACTTTTTGTTACAAGGTTGTGCCTTGGATTTCAAGGTAATATCCTGTGCTGGTGTTAAATCTGAAACCTTGTGTTCACAGAGCGACAATGACTTGGACAAGTCTGAGAAATCTTTTTCCCCAAAGAGAATAGACTTCATTCCAGTTTCGCCTGCACCTTCACCTACAAGAGGAATAGGGAAGGTAGGACGAGTGAGATACCAAACTGAGACAATATTTCAGAACTCCAGACCGAGCTGAACTGTGAAGATGTGTAACTTCACAAATTGTTTCATAGTTTAAAAAAACCCAAACAAACAACACAACCAAGTAAGCACCAAAAACCCCCAACCCAAACCCACATTTTTTTGGTTTCTAAGAGTCAGATGTTGACCCATATTGGACCCTGCAGAGTTTAGTCAGGGAAACACTGGATATTTTCAGTTACTGCTGTTTGTGCAATGTTTGGATGGATTTGAGTTCCAGGGGAGCTGGAAGAGGTCATGAAAGTAATCATGGACATGATCTTCAGCTGCAGAAGTGAGGGGACGTTGGGGAAGAAGTACCAAAATTGGAATGTGTCATCATTACAGTAAGAGTAGGCGAAGACTGCAAATCTGTGTGGTGGTGGGGATGAAAATGTGTCCCTCAGTTATGGGAAGGAAGGCACAAACACACTGTGAAGGAGGACTCGGGTGTGCTGAACTTGCACCAAAAACTGATGGCAGATGCTGGAGAAAGAGGTAGCACAGAGAAACTGGTATTTATGTTTGAAGATGACCTTATTTTCGCTCCCTTTTATGGTTCTGCTTTTGTACTGCAGTATTTTCCTGCAGGCCCCTACCAGTGTTGCTGCACGGAGCAGCCACATACTCGTGGTGGGTAAATGTGTTCCTGGGATAACACTGATGCTGGCAGCTGGTCCTGTGCCTTTGGAATCAGCTGTAAAGCAGTAGTAGATAACCTGACAGAAAGATTTTTGTGTTGAGCTGCGAGCATTCGTAGGCTAAGCTCAAATTAGCTGCAGAACCACAGAGCTAAATGTCCTGTTCTACTCTGGAATATTGTCAGTTTGCAGACCAGATGTACTTTGAGTAATTTCTACTTGTTTAACAAGCCCCTTGAAAGGGGTAAGTCCTGACTACTGTACTGCTGCTTCTAAATGTGACAAAGAACAGAAACAACGTCTATTTCAAGTTCACATTTCTTGTGGGTTTCAGTTTTAGGTTAATCTGAGCAGAATTGCACAAACCGTTATGTTTTTGCAAGTTAAGTTTTAAATATTTCCAAGGTTGTGTTTGATCATCTCTGCCTAGTTCGGTTGCTAGCTTTTCTTTGAGTGGGGCTTGGAGGGTGGGGTGAAACATCTGAGTATTTTGAAGGAAATTCTCAGGTGTCTTAATGTGCCTTTTTTCCTGCAGCAATGTTTTTCACCATCGTTGCAAATGTTTGTGAGCAGTAATGGGTTACCTCCAAGTCCTATTCCCAGTCCAACAAGGCGATTCTGCAAGTAAGTGACATGTGCAAGTAACAGGTGTACGTTGGGCTAGAATTGGAATTTAAGCCAAAGATTAATTAAAGCTGATGTTAAGGCAATAAAAGAGACTATAGTTTTACAAGAGTCAAAGCATTGCCATGTAAAAATGCCCTGAAAGTTCAGCCTTTACCAGTGGTAACTTTATGTAGGTGCTCTTATAGAGCTTGTGTCAGCTTTAAACTACTTTTGGTAAATTGTGGGGAAGTGCTTCAAATTAACTTCAATAACTTTGTCAGCAGATAGGTTTTTTATAAATAATGCACATAATTTGTAAATGGATAGAAATGAGAACACAATGCACAAAGGGAAGGAGAAAATGCTGAAAAACGTACTGCAGCTTTTTATGGCAGATAATCTGCTCTAATAGGCAGCATTTATTTGTTATCTATGTATTTCGATTCCCTAAAAATTCCAGGTTGTGCAGGAATAGTTTTGAAGATTGCTTCATATGCTGTGGTTGTGTTGGTTTGATCTGACTTGGAACCTTTACTGGCCTGACTTTCAGTGTGTTCTCTCTAGCAGGAGGAGTCAAAGTCCAATCAACTGTATCAGGCCTAGTGTTCTTGGCCCTATTAAAAGGAAAGGTATGTGTGTATTTACCTTATCAGATGTTTTAATATGGATGTAGTTTTGTAACTGGACATTTTTATGTTTATGCAGTAACATTTTTATGTTACTTTGTAAATATAATGCACTTGTATCCACGGTGAACTGGAATTTGCTAGTTGTAACTTAAAAATACAATGTAAAGTAGCCAGTCTAAAACGCAGGAATGAAAAACTTTAAAAGCAGCTACTGCTTGAAAGAGGCAAAGTTTATTATGCATCAAATGAAACATTATGAATGTTTGTAAGCCCTGACATTCCTACAAGTACCACTGAACAGTGCACACCCTTCAGATCATCTTAGGAATGTTGCTTATCATGCAGGATCTTCTAAACTTAGTACTGAATGTTTGTTTTCACCCTGAAAGTTCAGAAGGTGAATGTTTAGAGAAGTGGAGTAGATCAGTGCCCTTTTCTCCTGAAGGGAGAAAACTGTTCTTTCCTGGAAGTATTCCATGTTGGGGATATTCAAATTACATCCCAGGGCAAGTCTCCGTAGTAGAACTGTAAGAGTGAGATATTTACAGGTGAGCCACTAGCTATGCTTAACCTTTTAACTTGGGCATTTTTAACCGTGCCAAAAGCATGTCCTTTTATTGTACAAAACTTATATTTAGCCTTTGAGAGAAGTTACTGTTTGTTGTTTGGCTTTTTTTTTTTTTTTAAGGCTGCTTGTCCTGTCAGAATAAAGAATGTTGTCTAATTGATATTGACTTGACAGGAGAGAGAGACAAGTTTTCTCATAGATGCCAATTCTGTCTTGGCTGTTATTTTCTGTGAGTTTTAGAGGCATTTAAATGGAACAAAAGTTTATTAAGCTCAATGATCAGTAGGGGATAGGTATTCATACCTATGCTTTACCCAGCTTGTAAAAGCAATGCAGGTAAAGACAGGCTTTCCTCACCCAATCCATGTGCTCCTGTGGAGCATCTTTTACAAAGTGGAGGTACGAGTTCACCTTTTTTTATTTGAAATATCAAGGAATTTTCAAAATGTTACTTAATTTTAAAACATCTAACCCATTTAAATGAACTTACTTTCTTTCCTAAACATGTGATCCCATTGTCTGAATTTTAGCAGTGGCTTTATGGTTCATATTGTACAGACATGACATGGGAACAAAGGGACACCATGATATGGGGGAGAAAGCAAGCCATGTGTTGAACATTTCACTGCTCTAGGGAGTTAATACTGGTAGACTGTGCAATGTGTTGTAGCAGTGCAGATTGGCCTTTGTGGAATCTCAAGGGGCTAAAGTGTTACCTAAGTTGATGGTTTATTAATTTTTGTGTAAGACCAAGTATTTTATAAATGTTTTTTGCCCATTCTGTTTGCTGGAAGCTGTGTTAACTCCTTACCTTCAAAGAAGGGAATGTATCCCTGTGGGCTAAAGGAAATAAGAAATCTGGGAGGGTTATAAGTCTTTCAGCAGTATAATTTTGTTGCAGAATGTCTTAATAGATTCTGGTTTGCTGTAATGCTTAACCTCTCTCAGGTTTTCAAACTGATGCTACAACTACTGCAGAGTGTAGATGAAAAGACAGAAAAATCTATTACCATTTCATGGTTTTTTTTGTCAAACTAAAAATGAAAATATACTGTAGCTGAGAGCGATTTCTTTTTTTTTTAAGCTTGTTATTTGTAAGTTCATGATATTTTCAAATGTCTGTTGTATAGCAACTATTAATGAGCCAGGTCATTCTCAGGGCAGATTATACTCAACAGATTACATGACTTCTCCCCATCATATTTAATCTTTTAATGTCAGTAAATGGTTACAGGTACAGAGACAGTCTGGTCCCTGATGAGTAAGTGGAAATGCTTCCACATGACAGATTTATTCTATTCAGCTTTCCTGTAAAAGTGTACACATGCATCAGAGTTTGTTCTGCAACAGAGGGTGAAACTGAACCAAGATGGTACTATTATTTTCATAATCAGTAAGAATTTTAATCTCCATATTTTGGCTTATGTCAGTTACCTCATCTCAGCTGTGTACTTAAAATTAAGTCACAGTAATTACTTTGCTTTAGCTTATTTTGTCTGCAGTACAAATAGCGAGTTTTATGTCTTTAAGATCATTGTAGCCCCTCAGATACTGCTGAAAGATTAGTTAAATGAAGGATAGACTGGATGGTTAAACAGCAGCATCTAAGTAATGTCTTACTCAAGTGCTTGGTTGGCTGAATTGGAGAATTTATGTTACAAATGCAACCTTGGAATATTGTGGGACAAACCTCTCTTTCACAGCAGACAAAAAGGATGTTCCAGAGTCTCAAATGAGTTTGATTGTTTGCACTGTTTTCCTTAGGTGAAATGGAAACTGAAAGTCAGCCAAAGAGACTTTTCCAAGGAACAACCAACATGCTTTCTCCAGATGTTACACATCTGACAGATCTCAGTTCATGGTAAAATATTTCATGTGCCCTGAAATGCCAAAACGGGGAATGTTCATTTATCATAAGCTCTCCTTTTTTTTTTTTCTCCAGGAAAAAAGTGCTTTGTGTGTAGCTCGTGCCTGTATATTACTGGGAACTATTCCTGTGGCAGTGTAGTGTGACAATGGTCCTGCTCTTTGTATTAACTTTTTGAGCAGACTTTAGCCTAGATTTAGTACATCAGAGCTTTTATAATAAATATAATTGTTACAAATCCCCGTTGATTCATCAGCAAAGTTGCTTTGCTTCATCCCGTCAGTGTGTTGTAGATACTGGTCAGGCAGTGTCTGTGGTACTTTCCTGAATACTTAGAAAATGTGTGTGAGTACTTAATAGTTTTTGTCCCTACCTGCATGATTTTCAGTTAGTCTGTCATCTTTCTTTACTATGATCATAAAAAGCTAAGTTCTTTTTTTTGTGTGGAAGCAGATACTAAGTATTCAAAAAGGTGAACTGTATTACTGTAATTTCAGTTTACCTACAGACTTGAAAGGGCCTAGATTTTTTTTCACATTGCTTCCCTCTAAATTGCAAAAGCATCAATTTATGTGCCTTCTGGGATCTTTGTATCAGGACTTCAAAATCCAAACACAGGAATTCCTTACTTACAAAGGAAAAATAGGTCTCAATCTTGCTTTGAGTAGTGCAGTGTTAAAGAGCATACTGGTTAATTAATGGCATCTTTGCTGCAGTGCTGATTAATTTATTATTATTCCTTTCCTATAAGCTTTTAAGGTTTTAAGCTCATTAGTTTTCACCTCTTTTCTATGTCTGATTAAAAACAGCTTTGTAATTTATTTTGCATGTTAAAAAAAAAATTAATTCTGCTCCTCATTCCCATGAGGAGCAGGAATGTATATAACATGCTACAGAAAACAAGGAGTTTTCAGGGCTGCCAGTCTTGCAGTAAAGACTGAGTGGTAGTATAGGTCTCCTACATGTTCTGTCCGAGGGGAAAGCACGTTAACTTTGTGCAGTCTCATCATACCCATGTACTAAATAACCTTTTTCTCTTTCCCCAGCCTGTCTTCAGATATTCTTGACGGGAGTAGCAGCAGTGTTGGCTCTTCCTCTGATTCCCTGACTAAAGGCAGCATAACCACCGAGTCTCCAGTCACATGCTCCAACTCCTGCTCTTCCTTCATACTGATGGATGACTTCTCACCCAAGTGACTTACCAAGTCCTGAGTCAGTGTCTGGCTGTGCTGTCCCCTCACTGTACACTTGTACAGAGAAATGAACTGATCCTTGAACCATTAATATGAGGTTTATTAAAAGGAAAAAATTGTTGTTACTGTAATCCTTGGCTACTTTCCAGTGATTTTTTTTTTTTTATTTATCCATTTAATGGACATTGTAGACCATATTAATGTCTGGTTTTGCGAATTTATTTTTTAAACAAGATGTCTGCTGATATTATACTAACTTTTGCTTTCAGGAACTTGCATACACTTTTTGATTCCAGGAATAGGTATCTACCTATTAGTGTTGCAATTTTTAGGAAAGTAATTCTATCATTATCATGGTCACTATGTCTAGGGAAATAACTTGGTTTGGAAGGATTTGAAAATACTAATTTATTCTCTGGCACTTCTACTATTGAGGAAAATTATTCTTGCCTTTTTTTTTTTTCAGTCACTAGCCTCAAATTCCTTTATGGAAGGGAGAAAAAATATTTTATTTTCTTAGTGCTGCTAGTCATTTTTATTACAGAAGACCACATTGGGTGTGGAAATGTCACTCTATTAAAATAAAAACCCCACAACAAAATAACGACTGTCACTTTTGCCATCGGTGAAGAAATAATACTACTCTACAAACGTGATTAAATTAGCTGCATAGTTCTCTCCCCTGATCATTTATCCTGCAGATTGTATGAAATTAGTTCAATATTCAGTAAGATTTGGCCAAGGAAAATTAATCCACGCCTCGACTGAAGACAAACAGTGCAGATAACTAAGTTAATTAAACTACTGTGTAGGAGAACCATGTATGGCACCATCGATGTCTCCTGTGGCATTGAGGTCATAAGTATTTTTGTGCCTTAGGGGACATTGTTACAAAATTATGGAATGTAAACCAAGAGGGGTGGGTGGGGAAAGTCCTTTGTGTACAGCTTGTTTATAGAGTGCTTACCCTTATCCTGCTGTGGATGCTGCTTTCCTTAGTGTTCCTCCCCGAGGCGTGCGAGGTGCTGTGGGCAGGCCAGCCCTGGTGAGGGGGCAGCCCAGGGGACACCCCTTGCAGCTGCTCTGAACAGAGTCTGTCCCTTTGTTGGTCACGAGCAGGGCAAACAGCTCAGCCAACACTCAATCCCTAAGGAAAGACTTTGGATTGGATACGAGCTCTGCAAATTGCTTGGTGAAGGAGCTCTATTTGAGCTATGAGTAGTCTTGTCTTGATACAGTACCTTGGTCAGTCTGAGGTAGGAATAGATATTTTACTTTTTAAAGACTATAACGGGGCAAAATAAATCCGTTTGTAATCTACTGTGTTATGCTATTTATTATTTATAACTCTGTAAAAAGTCTGTGGTGATGAATTATAGTATTTTTTTATGATTGAATAAGTTTTTTATGTTCAGTAATTGCTGGCTGGTTTGTATTTAATACGCAACATTGTCTGCCAGAATCATAAGCTTCCATTTTTGAATGTTTGTAACATAAATGCTTTTGTTACCTAAAAGTACAACTTGTGATCTTTCTGAAAGAAAATAGCACTGAATTTAAAGTAAGATTATGTGCTTTAGAAGTGAGCACAACCTCTGGCAATACTGTCTGCCTAGAAGGGGAGGGGAGAACCGTAGTTTTTTCCGAAGAAGCTGTTGGGTATCCAGAAGACATGTACATACCAGATTATTTTTAAAAGTGTTTCATTTAAATTGTAAGAAGTACCAGAATGGGCCAACAGTGGCACTATTATTTGTATTACCATTTTCACCTGTGGAGCATTAGTTCCCCACTTCAAATAAATGTGCATATTGTAAAATATTGTCCATTGGTGCCATTTTTAAATGAGCTCTACAGTATTGAATGTTAATTTTATTTGTATATGCACAGTGCTATTTCTTGAATTTTTGATGTCTTAAATCGCTTCGTTATTTTTTTATTCATGCCTGTGTCTTCTCTGCCTTCTTGATGCTGAAAGAAGGCTCCTTTTCCATTGCAAAATATTGATAAACAGTCTGTGATAAAATCCAAGCCGTTACCTGTGCCCCAGTTTCCTTATACCTTGCTTTTACTGCTACCGTGATTTAGAAATCTAAACAAGGGGTGGCAGGAGGGGGAAATCTGTTGCATGCTTTCTTAAACCTGAGAAGAGCATAGCTATTGCTTATTTTTGGCTGATTTACCTGTACAATTGATGTATTCTGGATTTGTTTGTTAGTGGAGAGTCTTATCTGAGTGCTGGCCTCTGTAAACATTCAAATGTAAGCTGCATAAAGGAAACGCACAAACAGTCACTCTTGTTACAGCAGTTTTTTGTAGTGTTCTGGCTATTCTCCACTCTTGGAACGTCTTACAAAAGACATTGCTCTTTTATAAAATATATACTTAATGCACACACTCGCTGTGTCTGTGGTTTCAGGATGAATGTTGCAGCGTAATAGGCCCCAGGCAGGCCCAGGTTCTCTTTCGCACTTGCAGCTGTAACAACACTTGTTCATCTTGAAACTTAAGTTTCCTGATATGCTGGTTATTGATACTTGCACTCAGCTGCATGTGAGTTGCTGCTGCTCGAGGATCAATCAATATCCCAGTGTAAAGGTTGCACAGCATCCTCTGACTAAAACTGACTGAAAGTTGCATTTCTGGATCTTTTGACTGCCTTGTCTGATACCAGTTTGGGAAGAAGGACAGCTGGTGCTGGTAGTCAGCTTTTATGTGTAACTATTGACACTTAACAACTGGTTTTTATGTCTTCACCAGGCTTATTTCTTCTAAATTGCCATGATGAGTGTCTGAGAATTCCTGTCTTTCCTCCTCTTCCCTTTTTTGTTACAAGGAACCATTGGTGCATTTCTATTGCTGAGAATCACCAGTGATGAGTTACCTTTAATGTTGTAATTGTTGAGAACAGAGTTAAAATGCCAGCATAACTAGAGCAGCATTTTAGATGGGCTATTTTTAATATGTTAATTAGCACAGTATTACGACCTTGGTCTTTGTATGGCTCATTGATTAGCATTGCCTTTAGCTCATACCCAGAGCACGCTGAATCCTCATTTTGTGGGCTTAAAATGCTGGAAGGATTTTACCAATGCTTTAGAAAAATGTGTGTGTCAGCTGTGGAACTCTGTATGTTTTGATAATATCAAGTGTTCTGCATCAGGAAATGGATCACAGTGTGCATGTTTCATTCTCCTTCATTGAATTTCAAATTGGGGATCATGGGCCCAAAGGCCTGCATTTAAGGGGCTGTTTTTCTGACTGTATGTGATTAAATACTTTCTCCTACAATGAAAGTAATTAAACTGTCAGTGGGTGAGGATGTAAATCTGAGTCCTGCAGACTTTATTGGAAAACTCATTCTTGAAAGGCACGAGGAACTCTATACTGTATAAAAACACTGAAGTGGGATTTCTTTTTTTAAGTCATGATAAAAATAGAGAACTCATTTTAACAACTCAAAATGCTAAAAATATTTTAAATGCAAGGCTTCAGCTGGGCACATTTCTCCAGGCAGATTCATGTTGGAGGCTGTCTGCAGAGGTGAACTTGAGCAGGCTTAGGGAGATTTGGAACTCAGGTTCTGGTGCACAAACACAATAGCCTGACCTTGGGAAATTATTTTTTGCAAATATTCATGTTCTTTATCTGTAGACCCTGCTAATACATTGTGTGACAACAAAGACGACAGCTTGTTTTTCCTGGAGGAATTTCATCTGCATATAATTTTCCTGGTAACTTCATAATAAAAAAAGCTTTGCATTAACATGGGTTCAAATATTTCATGAAGTCAGAGGCCTGTTGCTTTTGCTTTTTTGGAGGAAAGGCCCGGGAATCTTTTTGGAGCTATAAAAACTGCCCCTCGTATTCTAAGGCTGTTATATGAATGGCAACTGTCCATAGTAGATGGAAGGGGACTTTGCCTACCATTCAGTGTTTCAGTCTCTCTTTAGATCTGTTAACTAATCCTTAGCAAATTTGCTGCAAGATGGGTTGCTGAGAAGAGTGTAGTAACTGGCTCCTTTGACTATAAAGATTTTAGCCCTGATTTAAGCTTATCCAGCTAATTTTTAAGTGAAAAATGTGTTTTTCAAATGACTGAGACTTTTCACGAGGGTCTGCATTGTTCAGACTTAGAGGAAAAGGCTCCTTGTGGGCAAGTCTTTGCTTAATCCACTCCCAAAAGAGTGAGTGAGCTAAGCTTGCCCATCAGAATCAGAGTAGCAGTTGTTTCAGCTGGTTTGGGGGAAGGCAGGGAGTCGGTGGCTGGGTTTCCTTCAGGGATGGTTATCTAATTCACAACAAGGACCCTTGTCCTCAGGCTAAAATAAAAAGTAGATGTCATTTTAGGGCAAGTCTGTTTTCTGAGGGAGCAGTTATGCTGCAGAGCTGGTTTAAATGTGATAGGCTGGGGTTTGCTTCCTGCTGTGAGTGAAGAGCCTTCACGTAAGCGGAATGTAGGGACAGGGCTGCCAATCCCAGAAATGCAAACCCACACCACTGCCACTGTAAATGTCCCCAAATGGCACTCTGTGGAAGTACCTCGTTTCAGTCCAAACCATTTTGCATTCAAACTGCTTTTTATTACTCGCTTTTAGATGTTAAAGCCCTTTGGTTTGAGACTTGCCCTGGAGTAGCGTGCCAGGGCCAAAATTTTCTTTTTAAATCTGCAATTTGGTTTGTTGCTGTTGTTGCACTATGAAGTTTGGAAATGGGAGGTAGGTAGGTTATTGCTGTTAACAAAGAATGCATGTTAGCCTGGGTGATCACAAAAGAGTGGGGGGTTTCAACAAAATAAGACCTGAAAACACAGACCAAAGATACCTGTTTTAATGAACTAATTTGGCTGGTCTGAGTCTTTTTTTTTAATGCAGACAATAGTCTTTTGAACGTATCAGTAGCTAAGAACAACAAAATCCAATACGCTTCCACCCCCAAACACCTGTCCTTACTGTAAAGTAAGAATTTGTTTCTGAAAACCCACAAGTTTTGTTCATCTAGTTTTGTTCATCTCTAACAAACTGGGCCAGGCCTCTCTCGGTCTCTGAATAAGTTTGCAGCAACAGTTGCCTGTGATTCAACAGACCTGTTAGTGACACCAGGCTGTCAAGCAGTTCCTGTCTGCCCAAAAAGCATCATCTTACACTGTACAGTATTTCTAATACCTTTAGTCTCCCTTATTTCCAAGGGCAATGAGATTTTTTACCTTTTTTACAAACACAATTATTATTTGCTGTTAATTACCATAGTTTGACTGTCTTACTAAACAGCTGTGGTAAAATTCCTAATGGACTTCTGCATGTCTCTCATTTTGGGGTATAACAGAGTTTGGGTTTTCTGATTATTTTTCAGATAATGCAATGTGTGTTTTCTGGAAGAATTCTCCATTGTGTTTTGATTCTGAAAGGCATTTGGATACAGTTTATGCAGAAGTAACTCCTATTTAACAACACTAGTCAAATGAATCTTGGAGACAATGACCTGAGGTTGTTTTTTCAGAAGCTGACTGGCTTAACCCTTGCATTACCTAAAGAAAACTCCTGCATTCTGCCACAGTCTCCACCACTTCTGAACTTTTGCCAAAGCTGAGTACGTTGGCAGAAGCTCCCGGCTATTTGTGTTGGGACAGTTTATAATGCAGATTATGAAAACCCTATTGTGCTGGAACAAAAATATTTTCCTTGCCCCAAATAATTTGCAATTTAAATTTGTCATGAGAACTGTGATGGTTTATCAGTGCAATGCGTGGTCAACAATTTTTTCAGTATGCAGAACTTACGGTCTCTACTAGGTAGGTAGGAAACAGGTAGTGTCAAAAACCATGGGCCCAAGTAGAATAAAGAATGTAATGGAAGTTAACTAGTCCAGAATATAAATATAAATGTTGAATCTGGCCTCTGACAAAGTTCTACAAGCCCCTAAAATTTTGGAAAATTCAGCTACTGCCATGAACTTAACAGCTCACTCTCAACCCTAGCTGTCAACACTTCCCTACTTATGACCAGAACCTCCAAAAATTTGGAAGAAAAATAAATCTGAAAGAGGGAGCTAGAATAAGAATGCCTCTGTGCCTATGATGTATGGTACTGGTTTGAAAAATGATACAGAGAGCAAAGTACAGTGAGTTGGGACAAATGTGCTTTAAATAAGAGTTGAGGATGTTCTACAGAGAGTACGTGTAACATCTTGTTCGTGTGCAAGAACAGACTGTGAAAGAAACAGCTTTGTGTGGGAGAAGAGACATCAAAGGGCCTGAAAAAAACCAGTGCTGTAATAGGAAACATTTGCCTTTTGAGGACTCATTGCTGCTGGTCACTTCTTTTTTTCCTTATTTTCTTCTCCTGTGTTAAAACCCAGCAGTGTGAGGAAGGAGAGGCAGCATGGGCAGGGTGGGCCAGATGGGCACCAAGGAGGGGTACAGAGGACTCACTGAATTTGTGTGGGCTTTCACAGCCTCCCTCCTGCCCCCTTCACATGGAGTTTGCATCAGCCCTGAAGTCTGTAATTGTGTTTGTTGGACAACCAAAGCAAGGCTGGAAGCTCAGCTTCTTGTCTTCATCAGCAAAGTTAGTGCACTGGATCGTCAGCTCTTGTCAAACGTGTCCTAGACATGTGAGCAAAACTCTTCATGGGGGCAGAGAGGGAATGAGAGAGGAATTAAGGGTATAGGAGTGGGGCAAAGATGCCCCAAAAGGTCTGGGCACTGTGAGAGACCATGAGGGACCTGGTGGGACAAGGGGCTGTAGATAAAGCACGATAACTGAGCAGGAGGAGGAACATCACCCAGCAGGAAGGAGATGGTGTGGCAGGAGGCTGGTGGACACACTTGGTGTGGAGAAAGTGATGGTTTTTCTGCAAAGTGCCCTGGTTACTCTCATTGCCAGCAAAAGGCTCACACTGAGGAAGAAGGGTTGTGGTACAGCTGAATGAAGGCAGCAAGCCATGCCACAGCCACATCCTACAACCTGCACCTGTCAGGGTGTTTGTTTTTGAGGAGTTGCTGAAGCTTTTTGGCCTTACTTTGCATTAGCAACAACGAACATGGTGCATATAGGACTCACAGCGAGCATCAGTGCCAGCATGCACAGCTCAGCCCTGACTGTGCCGGGAACTTTGGACCAGCTGTGGGAAGTTCATGGGGATCTGGATGGCCACGGGATGGCGTATCGTGGCTTGCAAAGCACAGGACGGGTTTAGTGAGCAGTGGTAATACTGCCTGAAGTGCATCTGAACTGAACTCACCCTGCAGCTTCTGTTACCAGAAACTTCTAAGGTTTTCTTTCTTTTCGCTC